CCTCCATTGTTAATTCCTGTGGAATCAAAATAATGTGTGGAAAATGGAATGGTCAACTTTAACTTTCCTCCAGAAATAACTTGAGAAACTGATGGATTTGCAATTAGAGAATCGAAACTAATCAATCCAGTTGTATACGAATCAGTACAACTTGAACTATTTGTCAAAGTGAGAGCAATTTCACTTCCAGACAAGACACAACTAGCAGCATTGAAATTGAAACTGCCAATTTTCATAACATGAGCATAACTTGTAGCATCAGTTCTTGCAAATTTGACAGACAATTCAATTCCATTGGCCAATAAATTGGACGAAACTATTGGAGTTGGACCATTGACAACGCCATTTGGCCATGCGCAAACCACTTCACAAGCACTTTGATCTGGTGTGAATTTGTAACCAGTTGGACATTCACATCCACCATTATTCTTATTGTAAACCATTCCATTAGAACAACTTGGACCCAACTTTCTCACAACACTATTTTGACTAGTAAAGATCAAAGATCCATCATTCAATTGAGAAATTCCACTGACATAACCCTAATTGACCAATTATTCTTCTTAATATTCAACTTCAAAAATAAAAACTTACAAGAGCAGCATTCAATGGATCACCTCCATCTCCACTGAATCCATTTTGTCCATTTCCAGCAATTGTTGAAATATTTCCAGATTGAGCACTCACAAATCTAATTCTCATTCCCCAAACTTCTGTAAAGTAAAGATTTCCAGCTTTATCGATTACCATTCCATACGGACCTGATAATTGAGCTTGATTTGCAGGTCCATTATCACCTGAATATCCTAAATAGATGACTGTGCCTGCAACTGTGGAAATAATATTGGTAGAAGATGTGATTTTTCTGATACGGTTAGTTCCGTACTCGGCCCAGTAAATGTCACCTGTTGGAGCGTGGTAGAGAAGAGCTTGAGGTCCACTATGGAAAATGTCAATTGCCAAGTTGTCAAAAAAAAACTTACCAGACTCTGGCGTTGGATGCCAAGCCACCATCTCCACTATAATCACATTCATTTGGAGGATTTGGGTATGTAAGAGTAGTAATGATTCCATTTACATCAATCTTTCTAATAGAAAGTGAAGTAGCAACCAACAAATCACCATTTGCAGTAAATGTCAAACCAGTTGGATTTCTCAAAGTTGCAACACTTGCCAATCCACCATCGCCACCGTCTGCACATTGGAGGGCAATACCAGCGATTGTGGTAACTATTCCATCAACTTTAGAATACTTTCTGATAATACAATTATTCGATTCTGTCCAGTACAAATCTCCATTAGAAGCAAATGCCATGTAATATGGAGAAAACATTTTAATACCTGTTGGAGGACCACCATCTCCAGAATAAGCTCCTTGCATACTTTGAATTCCTGCAAAGATTGTAGCAACGTTGTTGGTATCAATCTTTCGAATAACATTGTAGCCAGTATCAGCAATAAAGAGGTTTCCCTCAGAATCTTGGGTTGTACTGGCAGGCATGCTGGTAGATTAAAACATGTGTAAGAAACAGATCTTTCGAATAACTTTTACTTACTAAAATGGAATATTATCAAGAATTCTTCCAATAGAAAAGCTTGGTTTTGGAGCAGCACTGATAACAGCACTACTGGTAATAAACAATAGCAACAATACACATATGAGTGTCTTGATCATTTTTTTTAATAATGTGTATTTCGTCTAAAAAATCGAATAACATTTATTGTCAATATCCAAAGGGAACTTTGAGGTTCAAGAATGGTACTATCAAAAAGTTTGGGTAAACAATTACAATACTTTATTTTGTTACCGAAGTAAACAAAGCGATTGAATGATGCACTTTCGTCTCATTTCGAATACATTCAGGAACTTTTATGTTCACCAAAGGGTAATAGTGTGAATTATTTCACCAAATTTAGCAAGTGGAATTTTGTAACTTCCTCACAATCAACAACTCGAAATTGCACTCTCAAACTCTTCAATTGGCGCCAAATCTCTTTACAACAAATTTTGTAAAATATTTAACTTACCATTTCAATTTATTTTTATATTAAAATTGTAATGTAAAAAAAATGAAACAATATCAAGACCAAGAAAACCCGGTTAAGCTCTTCCTAACCGATTTCCAACCAATGACTTCAACTCATCATGAATTTCTCTTGAAAAAATTCCGAAACTTTAAAATTCCATTTTCTTATGAATTTAAACAATTTGGATTTTTAAAGACAAACACAAAAGATACAATTTATGAAGTAATAATTTCCTATCGGTATGAATGTGTGTTCGGAATTTCCGAAACACGAATTTATATATTTGATAGAATGACTAGAGAATTTAGAAAAAGTATTGAATTTGATGGAAATATATTTTGTATATTGGATGATGAGCATGATGAGATGTATGTTGTGCAGAGTATGTCTGGTGGTTATTGTACGAAGAAGTTTCGATTGGGATTGATTCTGGAAAGGGAGGGTTTGATTGTGGATGAACCTATTTGGACTTCGGAAAGTTGTGTTTCTAATCCGTATGGATTTGCAGTATATAATGGAAAGTCAAAGAGATATATGGCCGTATTGAATCATGGCATTTCTTCGTCTGTCCATTTATTTGATTGTAAAACTGGAGAGACAATTAAGGATACAATATTTACAGTACCTAAGGATGCTTCTTGTTTGGAAATTATTGGAAATACTTTAGTGGTTGGAGGTAAAAGTGTATCACTTTATGAAATTGATGAGAAGTTATTTGGGGAGGGAAGAAATGTTTTAAAGTTTTTGAATGGAATAGAAATGGGCTGGAAAGCCTATGAAATAATTATGGATGAAGCCAACCAAAGAATAATATATAGTAGTGATGGCATTATAGTATTGGATTCAAAAAAATTAGAAAAAGTACAACAAGTGGATTGCGTTGAAGATTGTTCAGGAATTTGTCTAGATCAATTCAGTGGTGAACTATTAGTCTGTTATCCAGATCAAATAATAATATACAAATAATTTGAACAAATAATTTATTGGAATCAATTTGAGCTCATCAAATCATGGAACATTCCATTAAGCTATTTTCTAAGCCTGATTCATCTTTTGCTTCCTCTTCTCAACATTAATCTTCTCCAACATGGCCAAATACTTTCTTCTTCTTCCAATTTTGAAATAGAGACCCAAACTTCTCTTATGTAACACCAGAGATAGCAACAAGGCAACAACACACAATCCAGACAAGATGTAAAACGTCAACAAGTAACATTCTTTGCCATGACATGTTCTAGTCCTTGGTGGAATGATATTCATTTGATAGATGGAACCAGCCATTCCAGTGGAGAATGCATAAGAGCCAAGACTAGTTGCGACTAATTGTAAAGTAGAGTTCAATCCAAAGTATTTTGGACCAAATCTTTCACTATTGTAGGTTGGACCCACTGAGAGAATTCCTCCATAGCAAAGCTTAATTATTTGGAAAATATTAGAATGAATGCTTTTAAAAATTACTTACTCCCATAATGATAATTAATGGATAAAAACCAGGAATTGGAACAAATGCAAATAGTAATAAGGAAATGGACATGATAATAATACAGAGTGCCAAGAAGAACATTCTTGTAATTCCCTTTTTAGGAGAAAAGAACTTGTCGCTCAACCAACCAAACACCAATCTTCCAAGACAATTAGAAATTGAAAAGGTAATTACGATAGGAGTTTGTTGCCCATTGTACCCTCCATAGGCAAGTACAATAGATCCCAAATTATTCACAATTGTTATTCCTGATCCAATTGACAAGAAGATTATTATGAAAATCAACCAAAAATCGAAGGAGATTAACATTCTCCAGCTATTGATATTCTCAATCTGATCCTGAGCCAACTTTTCCTTAATTTCTTCCTCTGATAGAACTTGTAAACCTTCTTCCTTTTCCACAACAAGTCCAGTTGTCTCATCTGCTAGATTACTATTAATGGAAACTGTTTCAGTATTTGATTCTACTTCTTTCACAACTATTGGAGTAGTATCCTTCTTTTCAGATGATGAATTATTATCGAGAAAGATTGTTCCAAGAATGATCACTGCAACGCCGCCAAAGATTGCACAGAAAAACATGTAAACTGGCAAAGATTGTCTGAAAACGACTGAGAAACATAACGAAAAGATGGCACTACTAATACCAAAGAAGGAGGAGAGAAGGCCAACAACTAGGCCTCTGTCCTTTTCAGGGAAATTCTTTACACTTGTGGTCAAGGAAGCTTGAGAAATGTCAGTAATCTTCAGTGAAATTCAAACTTACCAATATAAGCACCACCACTGCTGTTGCCAACAAGAAACATGAATGCAGACATGGCAATATAATTTCCTGCTTCTGGAATGGCACCTGAAACTGTCAATGACATGATGAAATAAGACCCAAACAAGACAATTCCAGCTGCCAAGCTACAAACTCTTGGTCCAATAAAGTCATTAATCAATGAAAACAAAATTCCTGTGGTAGAACCAATATTTGTTGCTGTTCCAATTAAATTCACTTCATATTGAGTCAAATGAAATTGTCTAACAGCATGCCATGCCAACATGTTAAATGATTAATGACATGTAAACTTACTGTTTAATTGAAGGACCGATAGAAGAGAAGGCATATTGAGTTCCAGCTGCTATCATCATTACCGAGCCAACTATCAAAGCAGCCCATCTTCGCAACTTTCTCAATCTTTCTGATTGATACCAAGTTTTTGCCTTCAGAAAGGAAGTAACAATTGGATTATTCTTTACCGTGTGTAGTTTACTTGATGTGAGAGGTGTACTTTCATCCATCTTGCCAATTTTTTTTGAGCTAGTTTAATAGTGTTTATTTTTGTTTTAATAGATGGAAGAAATAATTTTTCAATCATTATCCCAGAATACAATTAGTGAAAAGATTGTGCTTCTAGGGACGCACTTTGTCGTCATTATGAAATTTTACCGTGCGCATAGAAAAAATCTAGTGCAGTTGTTCCCCTAAACTGTTATAGATTATTCTCTTCCATAGGTTTTTTGATTTGTGAAATGTAATATTTTCTTTCACATATCTAATCAAAATGATGCTTATTGTCAATTCAGTGATGAAATTATCAAAACCTATGAAGAAATGAGAATGGGAAAAGGTTCGAACAAAAAGTTTCTTGTATTGTCCAAACGAAACCAATGTTAAGGAAAAGGTTCAAGTTGCTGCCACTGTAAAAACAGTTAAACAGAAATTAAATCGTTCGAGTGCAACAATTCAACCAAGAGTGAAATTGATGAAAAGTCAACGATTGAAAAATGTTTAACTTTTATGAAATGAAAGATTTGTAACAGATGACCGATGACCTAACTGCCTCTTAGAAAAAAGACTACAGCACCACAGGTTCCCAAGTTGTCTCCAACCTCAGTACTGATGTGGCTCGACGATGCTTAACTTCTCAAATCGGACGGGATGAGGTGCATTCATCGTGATATGGCCGTAGCCATGCATCTTATCAAAATGTGAAAGACAAATCAAATCATCATCTATCTTAAAACACATTACTTGAATAGCCAGTAATTATCCAAGACAAGCTTTTTAGAAAAACATTATGTTCTTTTAGATGTTATTTGTGATGGGAATAACTGATGGTATACTCAACTATACGGTAACTACGTTGGAGAATGCTATTTCGCTTTTGTAGTCAATGCCTGTTGGCGAAACCGGAATTCATCAGCTGCTTTTTCTTGAAGATCGTAAAAAAGCCAAGCAAAAACAAAACTAACACAACAATGAAATCAGTTATCATTGCTCTCTTCTTGGGATTGGTCTCCCTCCAATATGTTTTGGCCTTAGGTTCTGGTAATGAACGCTTTGCGATTTACAAGACCTCTGATTGTTCAAGTGATGTTATTGGTAATGTTACCCTTAATACAAAGATTCCTCTCCTAGATCCAGTTTGTACTGATCTTTCTTGTTCTTCTCTTGGTAGCTTGACCGTCAAGCCTAGTTGTGCTGAAAAGACTATGCCTGCTGAAGCACCAACTGGTACTGCCATGATTAGCTATTATGGTCCATCTGATGCTACTTGTTCTTCATCTGATGGTGCTAAGATTTCTGCCGTATTCAGTGTTAGTGATAACCTCGATTCTTCTGTATGTATTCAAATGCCAACTCTTCCAGATGCTTTGAGCTCTGTTGCTAGCAAAGTTATCTTCTTTGATTTCAGGGCTCTCAAGATCTATGGATGTGGAAACCTTAAGGCTTATACTGATACTGCTTGTACCACTGGTGAAAAGGCATTGCCTGATACTAATGGACTCTGTGTTGATGGTTACAAGGTTAAGGTTCAATGCAATAAGATATCTACCAATCCGTCTTCCTCTAATAGTACTACCATTACTACTGCAAACAATTGTGCCACAATGAAAGTCTCCTTCTTTGTTCTTGCTTTGGTTGCCTTGTTGTTCTTTGCTTTCTAAATTCAATAAATGTGTTTCCCACACTCACATCAAAATTTAATAAAAATCAAAATTTAATAAAAATCAAAACAACAAAAAATATTTCAACTTTTCATCATTGTGATGATGATTAAAGATCTTCTTCTTCTTCTCTCTGGTAGGTCATGGATTGGATAGGCTCACCCGGCCTCATGTAACTCACAAATTGCTTCCCAACAGTTGTGTAATAATTTTTAAATTGGTGTTCTCTCTTCAGCTTGCTCTCCGAAAGTAATTGTTCAAGCCTCTTGATGACCATATCATTTGGAGAACTTTGACTCGATTCAACAAGATGTGCAAGAACCAATTCCATATCAGAGTCTGTGAGTGTTTCATTCTCGAAAATCTTGTTAAAATCAGCTTGGAATTCATCAAATTTGGCATTGGCTTTCTTCTGTTCTAATTCATAGAGCCATTCATCATCTTGTACTTGGGAACGTTTAACGAGTTGATAGACAGTTTGAATGTGATGATGCTCTCCAATGGTTCTCTCAACAGGTCTAAATATGAAGGAATCTTTGGCTTTTTGTTTTGTAACATGATCACACACCACTGAAACATCTAGCAAGTTACAGAAATCATTCAATTCTTTAGCTCTATTCACAACTGGGCCAACCATTGCAAAGTACCGCATTTGCTTACTGCCAACGTTACCCATGATGGTACTGCCACTAGTAATAGAGGCACACATCTTAATTCTTGGATGTCCATCTTTGGCTATTGTTTCATTCAATGAATTCAATAGGGTTACAATTTTGAGGGAGGTTTCCAAGGCAGTTACAGATGGATTCTTATCGGTAAAGACAATGATAAATTCATTATAACTCTTGATTTGGAAATCAGCTTTGCAGGTCTTACAAATAGTACTGATGGAAGTAAGAGCTTTGGAAATCAAGCTGGAAAGCAAACCTGATTCATATTCATAGCTTTCTTCATCAAGATTTGGAACTGTCATGTAAATGATAGAGCAGTCCTTTGTGGAAAGACCTATTTTGAACATGTTATTTGCTGCATGAGCATCATGTTTTGAAATCTTGGAATGACCATCTGATGATTGAGACAAATTACTCTTTGATTCACCATTTGTCTTTTGCATACTATGGTTACTTGCTTTGAATGATAGACCTGGTTCATAAGATTCCTTCTTCTCACCTTCTTTCATGAGTTTTGTTATTTCTAATTGGTTTAGAATAGAATCTGGAATGAAAGCTCTAATTTCACTTAACCAACGAACTGTTTCAGTTAAACTGGAATAGATAGAGTTAGCCTCACTGAATATGGATGATCTAGGTTTGATAGAAATAAGATCTAGAATTTCAATCTTTTTGAAATCTTGTTGCAGTTTGATGAATGGACTTGTGACAGACCAACCAATAATGACACTCACAATAATACCCAATGCAGCAACACCTAGTGAAACACCAAGAATGACATAACTACTTTGAATAATTCCCTTCTTGATTTCAGTATCATCAAACACAAGGGTCATTCTCCATTGCAAATTGTAAAAAGAGTAAGGAGAAGAGGAAACCAAGAATTGTTCACCATCATCACTTGTTAAAATGGTGGCAATACTTTCAGTATTATTGATTTGGTTATCTTTTTGATATTTTAGCAGTTTGGCCATTACTGAGCCAGCACTTCTTGTGGTAATATTAGTTGCCTTGATTCTTTTATCTTCAATTCCTGAGATTTTCAAGGAGCTGCCAATGACATAATCATTGTCATATTCTGAGATGATTACAAAGCCACGTTCTAGAACTTTAACATTGGCCAAAAATTGAGCAATTGCAGCCAGAGAAATATTAATCTTGGCAAAACCAATTCTATTCTTCTTCTCAGGAAGCTCTGTCCTGTTATAGACAGGAGTACTCCAATAGGTTGATTGAGGACCATTAATTACTGTAATTATCAAACATGTTAAAGAAATACATTGCATGTTGCAACTTACCTTTGTATGGTGCTCCAAAAGCTCCAGTTGGATATTTCTTCATTAGTGCAACAGATTCTGAATAGTAATCGGTAGTAGAAACAGTATAGGTAATATTGGTTGTCACCTTGTCAAGGTAGTATTCACCATTAGTGATATTTGCCTTATACATGATGAATCTTTCATTCTGTCTCTTTGTTACAAAGACAACATTTCCATCAGCAGTAACAGAGTAGGCAAATAGTGCATTGTTACCTCCCTCACCAAAACACAGATTAGCGACAGTAACACCAAATGTTTTAATTCGTTCAAATATGTATGGTCGAATGGTATCTACCATATCAATATAGCCATTATAGTAATCATTGACCATGGAATCTGCAACATATTTAGCAGGAAGTAATTGACTATTTACAAAGGAAGAAATCTTTTGATTCATGTTAGCAATAATTACATCAACTTGTTCTAATGCTGCTTGCTCATTCATTGTATAGGCAGTAACCCAAATTGAAATAGCTGTCAATAAGACAACCAATGTAATCATTGCAATTAGGAATAATCTAATACTGAGGATAAATTTGAGAAAGACATTACGTTCTCTCGTTTCCTTTACTTCTACTTGACTTGAGGTCTCTTCTTCTTGAAGTAATTGTTCTAGTCCTGTCTTTTTCTCTTCTAGTATTGGTTCTGGGGTGACTTTTGTCATTTTTTAATGTTGCTTGAGATAACAAGAAATCGTAGTGATTCTTATTGCATAGTTCTTAGTTGGAATGTGCACAATATGATGGTATGTGATGGTTTTCAATCTCCTGATATTGCTAAGTAGAGATATGCATGTATGTCAATTAGAATTTCGTTTTGGGAGTTTATTCATTGTAATGTTTCACCATTTAATTATTGGAATTTCAATTATTATTAGCAAAAAAATGAACAAATTTTTAATCTTCACCACAGTTTACATTGTGTTGGCAGTTATTGGCTATTACCAAGCTGATGACACAACAGCTACAACTGTTAAACAACCGATTTGTGTTCGCCAACAGCAATATCCAGCTCCGTGTCCTGAATGTAAAGCTTGTCCAGATTTCCAAGACAATTCATGCTGCTCTCCAACTGAGGACCATGATATCGGGAAGAAACTGAACCATACTAGTAATTCCAAGCCTTCAGATTTGTGCATGTCAATTGTGCCAAAGCTTTTGTGTGCACCATGTAACCCAGAACATCAACAAATATTAATTTCTTTATTTTTTCTTTGTAGAAATGTTTGTGAGTTGCTTAAGAGAGAAAAGTGTGATAAAAGTTTTGAACATGCTGATTGTGGAATGCTTCCAGAAGAGAATTGTATAGATGTTATGAAAAGTCCTCCATTGATGATAACTGTATCTAAATTTGTAGCTTCTAGAGTTACAATTGTAAAGGACTATCTATTCAAGTTCAAATTGGTTAAGTTCATTAATGGATTATGCCTATTCAGTTTTAACAGTTGGAAAGGTGCTGTCTTTGTATGTAGTTTAATTGGAGAAATATTGGCTTATTTGGGATTTGATTTATGGAGAGCAATTTGTTTAGTTGTTTCTCCCTGTATTCTATTTTATTGGTTTGGCAAGGAGAAAAGTTCAGATTTTAAATCATCAAAATTAAAGCGCAAACATAATGGTGGAAAATTTAAGCATAAATGAGATAACCATCAACTAATTGATTTTTACTCTTATTGATATTTTAGAGTACAGAGCTAGTATTTAATAATAGAAGCAGGAGTTTGAGAGTCTTCAATCAAATTAGAAACAATTTCTTCTTTGGACGTGTTGGTGCTGTTTTCAGGAGAGGATTTTGTTTGAAAATCTGACAGAAATTTTACTGCCTCATCAAAGGTAAGCTCTGGTTGCGGCCAACAGTTTGATGCATAGTGGAGTAGATCCTCGTAGAGAATAACTTCCTCTTTAGAAACAACAGCTCTTGCAATTGCAACCAAATTATTGATCTTTTTCTGTGCTTCATCTTGTTTGTTTGGTGAAACAGATGATTCTTCAACTGAAGAACAGGATGATGATGTTTCATCAGATTCTGCCTTGGACTCTTTCTTGACTGGCACAATCTCCACCTGGTAAGCTAGTATTTCATTAAATATTATCCTTGAAAGAATGGCACCAAGAGCAACGCACAATCCAAGCATGGACTGGATAAATAAGGGCGTGAATACGAAATTCTTAATATTCCAATAGAACATTCGCAATATGGACGACAATTCATACAATAAAGTGACCAAGTGGTAAACTAACAAAAAGGCACCAACAAGAAGCACCTCCATTACATAAGATGCACAAGGCTATAGTTAAATGTTCTCATGAGAGACCATGTCAAACTCAAAACCAGTTGCAAACCAAACAAACGGAGTAGTAACTATTCTAATCAAATTTCCAAAAACTTGCAAGATCCAAGAAACAACAGCAGAAATCCAGTTGCAAACTCGTGTGATTCCATTCATCAATACGGAAAAGGCATTCTCAAGAAACATTATTGATTTCTCCACCAATGCAAAAGCAGAGTTTAACAATCGATCGAGTATGCCTTGCAAATTATTCATCTGATCAATAAATTGTTCATCCTCTTGCTGATTACCATGCAAACAATCGGATGGAGTTGTACAATGAGTCGAAATAATTTGGATGGTTGGAAGTGGCTTACTTTCAATATGTGAGGAAACATTGCTGGTAAAGCTTAATAGAAGCACTAGGAGGAGGAGAAGCAACACCAACAGAAAGAAGTGAAATTTGCAAAGGTAATTCTTGATCATTTTTTTTTAAGGAGAAAATTTCTTTGTTCTTCAAATTTGGACAAGACCAAAAATGGATATTTTCAAAGCCTTAATATTAAATTCTAGAAAAATTCATGTACCCAATATCTTTGTAAAATCTTCTTTCCAATTATCCAAAAAATCAATTTACAATATTTCTACAAAACTTCGGAGTTCATCATAAAAATATTTGCCGCCAAAATCTTAAAAAAAATCGTAGAGTTTGCATCTTGTCATCAACTTGCTAATTTCTTCATGAAGTTTTAAAGCTGTACCACTCTCTACTTTGGGAAATTCGAGATGATAGCCAATAGAAGAGATAGACTATCTCTGCGCTGCACTACTTCCTAATCTCCATGTTATCATCGACCGATGATGGAAAATTGCATTGTTTTTTTCACCCGAATATTAAATTTATTTAAACTATAATACAATAGTATACATGTATTACTAAGAAGCAACTAGAAGATGAATTATGTAACAAAGATAATTTTTCTTCACAAATATGATAGATGGTATTTCATGACTTTTTCATGTTGCATTGATTAGTTCATGCCTTGCTTTTAAGGTTGCCTTCTCATTGAATTATTTTACGAGTCTAATCCTTTGTGTTTCCTTTTCAACTGGTAATCAAGCCCCCTACATGTCAACTAAGATGGCCGGCATTCAACTGTCATCTGAAATGTTGGACCATTGGTAAGCCGTCTTGTCTCTCTGAATGAGGAAGTTTAAAAAAATTACATAACAAGATTCAATAATAATAATACTAACAACACATCATGGAGAGTTATGCAATGAATAGTCAAGACAATCCATTCTACTCTATCATTGATGACCCAACGTATACAATTCATCAAGCATTGACATACAGTAATGACAGCAAAATTATCAACAGGTTTACAGGTGCATTGGTTGTCTACTCGATAACTCTACCTCCTTTTTTGGTTCTAGGTTTTGTAGTTGCTATTTTATTAATTATTAGATGGAGAACAATGGTTTTCATCAAGAGATGTCTTTATGGACTAGTGGTGCTCATGTCATGTTTACAAATTTTATCAATAACTTCAGGTATCATGTATTCAGTTTGTGTTCTGATAGGTAATCAAAAGGAATGCATGGATCCTTTTGCTGCTATTCAATATTCATGTGGTAATCTGACTGTCATTCTATGTGTCTTTTGCTTCTTGACAATTACAAGGATTCTGTATAAGGTTTACTTTGATAAGTCACAGTGGTGGATGAGAGTTGTTGAAAATCAACAGGAAAGTTTAGGGAAAACCGTCCCAAAGAAGATTGCCATTAGGAATCAACGATTTGGCAAGTTTGTTAAATGGACAGCTATCATTAGTGCTATTGGACTTTTAATTATTGCCCCTCTTCACATTGCTACTATCATGATCACATCTTTGACTTCTTTGATGCCAGGTGTAAAGGCTGCAACAGCTTCCAGTATTGGTTACAATCGTTACTATGCTGATGCAGTATTAGCTCTTGGCTATTGGTTTTTGATCTTCTTCTTTGGAATTATTAACATTGTGGTTGGTGTTTCACTCACTGGAAAATTAGGAGGTGAACAAGAAAATGTTCCACTCCAAAGAAGAAAGGCATGCAGACAATTGAATTTGTTGAATGCATTACAATTGGTGTTTGGAGGAATTACTGGTAGTATTGTCATTATGGCCATCTTAACATTGGTTCAATATGAAATTTATATTGCTGGTATTACATTGCAGAGAATTAGCATCTTTTTCTTTGCTGTTGCCTTGACATTTATTTATGGACCTTTGGATGAATTGGATTTGAAAGAAACAAAGGAAGAAATCATTATGGCCACAAGAAAGATACTACCAGCTGCCCTCGTTGATAGAAAGGACAGAATTGAAGAATCTGAAGGCAGTCCAAGGGATGATGCCAGGAGTACAGTTGCAGAATTGGCCAGTCCTTCAACAACAGACGAAAGTACGCCATCACCTCCAAAAGATGAAGAAACACCTGTACAAAACCAAGTTTAATAACTTTGCAATAATTCTACTAACACTCTCTACCCATTTAAATAATAAATTTGTAAAATCTGACTAAACTGTATTTATTTTTGTTTACATCTGGAAGTGTCTTGTCAAAATTAGCCAACCAACTAATTTAGAAAATAATGGTAATAATACCAACATGGCTAAGAAATTTTTACAAATCATCCAAAATTGGAATTTCTGCATTCTTCTCGTCAAAATGAGAGAAAATGTCCTCATCTACAGTTATTGAATTAGAAATTAAAGACATGATTCAATAAATTGAAACACCTATTTCGCTTAATTGATCAGTACTTCCAAAGTCAAGCTCTATATTTATCATCACAATTACAATTGGCAATAAATTTTACATTTTCATATTGATCTAAATCTTTACAATTAATGTACTTAAAACTGACCAATAAACTATTCTTTCTTTGATGTGGAGTCAATTACGCAATCAAGTTTGCTTGTTGGGCGATCGACTTGTGAAATTTTCAGCATAACAGTTTCGTTGCATACGTAACACTAAAAATTTCAATAACTTTATATTCGTACTGTAAAATATTAAAAGGCATTGGAAGTTGAATTGCAAAGATGAATGAAAATCATTCACTTTCGAATACCAATCAGAATCAAAACATCACAACTGATATTCTTCTCAAAGATTACAAATAATCTCCTCAACTATCCTCAACCACACCAAAATTGTTAATTATGATTTCAATTGCACACATTAACAATTTAAAATAGAAAATGCAAGCTCAGTGCACTCTTCCAGATGAATAATATAATCCCATAGAGGTAACACTGGCCATTCTATTATTTCCCAAAATTGAAGCATTTGGTTTTGGTGCAGTAAACAATGGAGGGGCAGATCTCAAAGTTCTGAGCTTTCTGGTAAACAACTTTCTTCCTCTTCTTTCTAATCTTCTCTTCTTTCTATTGGCATCAGTTCTCAATCTTCTCAACTTGCTCGATTGGGCATTGAAAAACTGTCTCTGCATTGAATTGACACTACTTCCCACCAGTGGAGCTCTATAAATAGTATAATCACTTTCTTCCTGAATCCTAGGATATGCCAATGAATAGAATGAAGCTTCAGAAAATTCCCAATCATTACCACCATACGAAATTACTTCATCCTGTTGCTGTTGCTGTTGCTCTGTTGAATACTTGTTAAATTGACTTCTCATCTTTGATCTTCCATTCTTCTCCTTCTTTCTATTCAACTGATTATCATACAATTTTGTACATAGACTTGTATATTCGTTGGGAGGAAGCACTTTTTGTCGTCGGTTAACTTCTGGCAGAGTGATGTGTTTACTTGGAATGAATGGAGTTGATCTTCTCACTTTACCTGCTCTGGCGCTGGACATGTTATTATTACAGTGAAATGTTGTTGTTGTTTTTTTTTGTTAGTGGTGTTTTAAAATTAGAATTGTATTTTTAAATTAATACGGGTGAATTCACGGGAAAAAGGGAAAATGGGTCAACTTGGAAATTGAAAGAATTTACAAAGTGAATTTACAATGTTTAATATTATTTATTCATCAGAATTGGAAGTGAGTGATTCCTTGGACTCGACTGTTTCAAAAGTAGCTTGTGATTTGTAAGGGGTTTCAAGTGCAATTTCATCTTCTGCAACCTTGGTCAATTCTTCACTACTGTCTTGCTTCTTCATCATTTGCTTTCTTGCCAATTCAGCATAAAGACCACCAGAATTCATCAATTGATCGTGTGTACCTTGTTCCTTCAATTCACCCTTATGGAATACACAAATTAAATCAGAATTTACAATGGTTGATAATCTGTGAGCAATGACAATAGTAGTTCTTCCCTTCATGAGTTTGTTCAGAGCATCTTGAACGACTGCTTCAGAATTGGTATCGAGAGCAGAGGTAGCTTCATCGAGTAATAGAATTTCAGGATTTTGAATCACTGATCTAGCAATAGCAATACGTTGTTTTTGACCACCTGAAAGAGAAACACCACGTTCACCCAAAACTGTATTATATCCATCAGGAAGTGCAGAAATAAAGTCATGAGCATTAGCAGCCTTGGCAGCATTGATAATTTCTTCCTCACTTGGGAATGGATCATTGGATGTTTTTCTAATGGAATAACATATATTTTCCTTAATTGTTCCAGAGAACTAGAGAGAAAAATTAATAAAAATACTATTAAAAAAACATACCAAAACAGGTTCTTGACCAACTAGACCAACATGAGTTCTGAGCCAATGAGGATCAATTTCTGAAAGCTCATTTCCATCCAAAATAACTTTACCACTGAGTGGTTCATAGAATCTTTCCAATAAACTAATAATTGTTGATTTACCAGAGCCTGAACTACCAACCAAAGCGATGGCTTGACCAGGTTTGATAGTGAGTGAAAAGTTCTTCAATACTTGAATATTTGGTCTGGTTGGGTAGGAGAAGGAAACATCCTTAAATTCAATTTCACCAATAATTCTATCAGGAGTAATTCCACCATCAAATCTCGTGGCTGGAATTCTACGAATAACTTTGAGCAAGTTCTTTGATGATTGGATGGCACGTGTCAAATCTGGAATTACAGCCATAATTTGAGAACTACCCAAGACTGACATTAACAATAAGGTAAAAACTCTGAACATGTTGGCAAAGGCAATTTCTGACTTGACCAATAACTGACCTCCCCACCACATACCCAATGCAAGGACACCCCAAATACTGATTTCTTGAGCTCCAATTGGTGCACCCAAAATAATAGCTCTAAGCACGTACAACAAATTACCACTCCACAATTTTTCCTTGTATCTATTGATTTCCTTATTTTCTGAATCCATTGATCTAACCGTACGAACAGCTCCTGGAGTTTTGATTAAAAAAATTTGTTAAATTAATTAAAAAGAGTCTCTACTAACCTATGACTTCATTGGCAATGGCAGAAGCTTGGTTTGAAATTTTAAGAGTTCTCTTGGTAATGAGCTGAGATGCCAAACCAGAGCTGAACATGATCAAAATGATAACTGGGGCAAATGAAATCATTACTAGAGCCATCTTCCATGAAAAGACAAGTGCTAGAATAATTCCCAAAATTACTTGAACAAAGAATTGAGTAGCTCTTCCCAATTTGTTACTGAAACTGTCTTGGATTTGTTCCATAGACTCAGTCATCCACGACATTAATTCACCAGTTCTCTTCATGTCAAAGTAGCCAATTTCTTGCTTCATCAAACTCTCAATATAGGCATTCTTTAAACGGATACCAATTCTTTCGAATGAATAAGCCATCATTGATCCTCCAATCCACGTTAAAATTGCTGCAATGGCTGCTATTATCGCCATCCACATGGCCAAATTGTTAATTTTGTTTTCTATACCAGTGACATCTGCACCAACGACAATATTAATTAATTCACCCATCCTGTTATCAATTTACAAATTTGGAAATGTCAATTTTCTATTCAGAAAAATAATGACTTACAAAATGTTAAAGATATGAGGCATTGCTCCAAAGCAAGCATATCCAACCATTCCTATTATAATCCAAATCATTTCCCATCCCACAATCTTAATCATCAACAAGATTGGGAATCTAATATTTGGTTCTCTATCATCTTTGAACTCGGCTGGATTTTCCTTCTTCTGCTTTCTAAATTTTACCATTTTATCTTTCTCTCGGAATACTATAATAATTTATATTGATATTAATCTTAATAATCGACAGCGAATCGTCTTGCTATTTTTTTTTAATTCTACGAAAGAGAAGAAGAACATCAACAACTTTAAATACTATGTAGCTGGTAGACATGTCTTCGGTATTATTCACCTTTATTTGTGAGCAGAGAGAAGGATCATCTGTTTTTGCTTCCTTGCTCTCAAGTCGACTTGGGTAAAAAAATGGAACCCGCCATTAGCTTATGCGTGCGCGCTATTTTTTATGCTTTCTAAAAATTGTAAATAATTTGTGAGTTTAATAATTGCGAAAACAGTTGACCTGTGTCGAAGTTTTAGGGGTTATTGAATGAAGGAAGAATTGAGCAAGTATTGAATGAAAATTAGGCGCTTATGAATCAGAGTGAAATGGATATTATATGTTGAGAAATTCTTGGGTTTCAAGAAATTGTATACGGAGTGAAAATTGGTGAAATTCAACTACATAAAATCCTGTATTAAGAATTAATAACTAATCTACTTGTTGGAATGCCATAAAGTCCTGTTTTCTTCAATTTGATCCATTTTTCTTGCCGAGGTGCAACCTTCGCTCAAATACAGCTACTCTGCAGTCCCATGCTAAATCGCTCTGGCAGAGTATCATATACTTTCCACATCGAATTGCTGTAGGCAATACTGTTCTCTACAACAATCAAAATCAGTCGATGAGATGAGTAATATCCTTAGCGAGGAATGACAGTTTTCTCATTTAAGGAGTTGCATAACTTGAAATTGTTCATTAGAAGTTCTTCCAATTCACTCAAAATGTTATGAATTTTCAAATTTCTGATGAAACACACACTCTCGTTTTATTATGCAAAGATCTATTGTTTATTCGTTTTTTGTGAAATTCTCCCAACTATGATATTAAAATTTACAATAAAAAAAAATGTCATCATTAAGAAGCAACGATCATCACGCCGCCGCCAACATTTTAAAATTACCTTCCGAAATTATTGGTGATGAAATATTTTCCAAATATTTAAATTTTGAATTTATAATTTCTGTTTGCTCTTTGGTTTGCAAGCAATTTTACAAATGTTCAGTGAATTGTAAATTGAACGTGAAAATTCCGAGATTTTATGATGAAGAAAGTTTTGCTAAATGTTGTAAAAGTGAGAGATTGAAATGTGTGAATGAATTTGTATCGGATTGCCCATATTCTTTTGAAGAATTTGTTAAATATTTGGATGAATGTCAATTTGATAGTTTGAAGAGATTGAATTTGATTGGTTTGGAGGTATCCAATGTTGTAGCACGTTTTGGGAGTTTAGAAAGTTTGTCATTGATTGGTATGGGTGCCGAAATAGGAAATTCGATAGGAAATTTGTCACGATTGACCTATTTGAATTTGAATGCAAGTTCTGTAACTAGTGAGTCTTGTCAGTACATTCAAAAGTGTGAATTGATCAAAAATTTGAATCTTTCTGATAATAAGATTGGAAATGAGTCGTGTCTCTACTTGACCAAATTGAAGAATTTAACAATTTTACGATTAGAGGATTGTAATATAAGTGAAAAGGGTGTGGAACATCTTTCCCAAATTGAAACTCTTACAATATTGAATGTTAGTAAGAATAGAATTGAGGATGATGGTTTTGTAAATATTTGTAAACTTAAAAATCTGACTAGCTTGAAGGCCGCTAGCTGCTCAGTAGAGTCTATCAAAAATATTACAAACCTAATCAAGTTGACTTCACTTAATCTTGGTCAAAATAGCATCGACAATGAAGGAGTCAAAATAATTGGAGAGTTGACCAACTTGAAAACTTTAACATTGGAAAATAATGTATTCCAACCAGAAGCAGTTCAATATTTGACCAAACTCTCCTCTATGGAAGTATTGGACTTGAGGGATAATAATCTATCTTTTGATAATGTCAAATGTTTGAATGCCACAAATTTACCAAAACTTTATCAAATTCAAATCATTAGTCGTCACAGACAATACTATAACTTTTAATTTTACAATTTGTTAATCAGAACAAATTGAAGAATCTCCTTCACAGCTTGTGGATCACCAATTCATTTCCAATAATAATTGTAGAGGTTGAGAGGTTTCAGTTGGAGAAACAAAATCACCCTCATTAAGAACATATTGGATTTATTTCAACATTATTGAATTTCTGCAGTTTTACAAGACGATTTAACTTGTTAATAGTAGAAATAGGTATTTTTAATAACTTAATGTTGAGTGAAAATTTACAAAAAAATTGTGGCTATGTTTAGTGACTTTACACTTCTTCGAGAATAATGACTGGTTGGGAAATGGTTGAATACTTTGTGGAGGATGACTTTCTGTTCATTAATTTGGAGAATGAATAATTGACAAACTTGGAGAAACAATTTGCAAAAAAGTTGACCATTCTTCTTGGGATACTAACTTGTTCCAACATGCTGATATCTCTCTTTGGGAAGATATGATGATTGTCATGCTCATTGACATGATGAACGTGATATCCAATCAAAATTTCAAGAACAAGATTAATATCCACATATTTTTGGAAAGGATAATACTTATCGACCATTGAATCGAACCATCCTTCTTCATGAGCTAATGTTGTGAAAACCATAAAGATTACAGTCATGACAAGTCTACACATTACCAAATGAATTAAATAATCAATAGGATTCATTAGCAAGAATGGAGCCAAGAGCAATACCAATCGAGCAAAGTACATTGGAGCATACTTCCACTTCATGTCTCTCTTCTTCTTCAAATAAAAGCTGATATAATGAAAATCAAACACAGAACATCTCATGAATAATACCCAACGATTTGGAGATGATTTAAACCAATAATCAGGATCTCTATATTGGATTTGCTTATGTCTGTAGAGAATATCAGCTGGTGCCAAGTAATCTTGTGTGGTGTCCATAGAGTACTTTCTACTACCTTCGCCATAGTTGAAATGATGATGTTTAATATGGCCATGCTTTGCTGGCATGAATGTTAAAAAGTGACCTAAACCAACTCCGAGCAAGAGGTCAACAATTGGATTCAATGATGTTTCTTGATGAAGAAAATTGTGATAGCATAGAGTCCATCTTCCACCAAAAATAAGATAGACTGGTGGTAAGATCAAGATTTGAAGAAGAATGTTAACATTAAAATGGCTCAATGCAATCTTAGTTGCAAGAGGGATGTATTGAGTGATCATGCTGAAAAAGATTGAGGCATATTTGCTGTATGGGACTTCAGTTCCATGGACTGGATGTCTTCCATGAGTCAATTGTCTGGTCATTTGTATTGTTATTTTGTTTTTTTTGTTGTGGAGAGTAAATACCTTTACCAACTAGATTTAAATACATTTTCTACTATTTTTTGCTTAGTTTATTTATATTTTTTGTTGCAACAAACGTGTTTGCACACAAAAACAAACGTGATGCAAATGTAAAATAAGTGGATTGATTTTACAACAAATGGAAACAGAAATTGTAATATGTAAGTAAAAGCAATAATAATTTCTCCTTTCAAGTAATAAAGAAACACGTTAAGCATGGCAGTGACCTATGTTAGATTTATGATTTGTATAAAGATTATTTTTCTATTTCATGTATTCCCCCTTAGCTCAGTCGGTAGAGCGTCAGACTGTTAATCTGCAGGTCGGTGGTTCGAGCCCACCAGGGGGAGGGTTCTTTTATTTTTTTGACCTTACCTTGCTGATGTTTTCTTCCTCATGCAACTAAGTAAAGATTTTGGCGCCTGTAAAAAGATATAAAAAACAGTTACACAAACGCAGTACTATCGGCATTTACTGTTTGCATCCAAGAAAGATTTCTGTGCTTTGAATTTGGATTTATTATCAAAACAAAGCCAATCACACAATCTTTGTTTATAAAGGATGAGAAGGAGCTTGCTTGAATTGAATCGGCAGAGTCTTCCGAATAAACCTCATCAAGCAACAAATAATGTCATGATTTCTGGTAATACCAATAACAATAATAATAATAATTCAAATAGAAATACATTTACTGATGTAGATGACGATGAAGAATTATCAAGTTTGAGGACAGTTTCTAGCACAAATTCAAGCCTTAATACATCAAGTAGCAATACGAGTGGAGGAAGTTTAAAAAGTGAAAATTACTCTCATCGACACAATTCATTGAAGATTAACACTAATCAACAACAACAACAATCGGGTTTTGCTAGAACATCATCCTCACCAGGTTTATCACAATTAGGGAAAATTAAATCGGAACAAGAAAGAGGATTATCACCACATCGTTCTAATAGCTTTTCAGGAGGAGGAGAACAACGAATTACTTTTGATAGGAGAGGAAATATACAAAACGACCATATTGATATTGAATCTAAGGACGGTTCTAAATTCAGATACAAAATACATAGGAATAGCTTGACGGACAAGTTATCAGGTCTAAACCAACTACTTCAAAATTATAATAACAATGGTAATAGTGGCATAAACTCTGATTCAAATTCTCCAACCACTCTAACAAGTGGAGAAGTATTGTCACCAACAACAATAACAGGAAGGAGACTATCTACAAGCACTAATATGAACTCGTCTTCCCTTAGTAACTATACTACTAACAACAACACCAATAATGGAGCAAGTTTGTTGACACAGAGCATTAAAAACTCATCATCCAATAATGAACAAAGTTATAATAGTAATCAATCGACAGAAAATGATGAACTCGATTCACCAAATCTCTCAGAACATGGCTCCCTCTCTTCAAGTCCTTCAGTTTCTGTGAATGAATTGCAGGAAAGAATTTCAGTTTTAACAGCTGCCCTTTTAACAGCAAATCAGAAATTGGAAGATTTTCAAAACAGCATGGAAAAGTCCATGTCTAAACAATCCGAATTGAAGAATTATTATCAAAATTTTGTGAAAAATCTCACCAAACAACACAATCAAAAATTGGAGGATTATCAATTGAGAATTAAAGAGTTGGAAAACGAGAAGAAACAACTTCGCAAAGAGGTAGCAGAATCGACAAATGATGTATCAATAATAGAGTCAATTGTGATAGAAAAACCAGAAGCAAAAGAATTTAGTCAGGTGTTTGTGCAAACTGATGCTTGTCAGGTTGTAAATTCAAATCTCGATTTACTGTCATTCTCAAAGAATGCTCTTGAAGTTTGTCGATCCACTAAAAGTGATTTGGAGTTGATGAAAACTCATGTTATGAATTTAATCCCAAGTGACATGCTTCAAAAGTTGTCAACAATAATCATACGGAAAACAGCTGAAAAACTTGACATTCCAACAGTGACAAACTTTTTCCAGAAAAAGATTCAATTCCAAGAGGATAGATTTGCTCAACTGAATACTCTATATGTGCATGAGCAACAAGTAAGAAAGTTATTACAAAATCAATTAATAGAAGAACGAGGAAATCTCAGAGTGTGTTGTAGAATTAGACCAATGTGGGTTCTGGAATCAGAAAAAAACATGGCTCACAATTCATACCGTGTGAAAAGTTGTATTTCTCAAGAAAAGACCACAGATTCAGTGGTGGCAATATCTAGGATGGGAAGAAATAGATCCTTCGAGTTGGATCAAGTCTATGGAATGGAGAGCACCCAGGATGGTATCTTTTCCGATATAAGACCATTAGTAAGCTCGGCTTTTGATGGATTCAATACGTGTTTAATGGTTTTTGGTGAAACAGGTTCAGGGAAAACATTTACAATGAATGGTTCATTGGTTGAGCCTGGAATTGTACCAAGATCTATTACAGAGCTTTATCGAATAATGGAAGTGAACCAATGTTACTATAATGCTAATTTAAGATTGAGTATTGCAGAAGTTTACAATAATGAATTGAGAGACCTTATCAATCCAGAGAAAGAGTACAAATCATCAAACGATTTGAACTATGTAAAGGTAGAAAGTGAGGAACAATTGAGGCAAATAATTAAGGACTGCATTGTAAAGAGAACTGAAAGCAAGACTCTGATGAATTCAAATAGTAGTCGATCTCATTGCATTATTTCGGTGGAAATTGAAAAGCGAGTTATACCGAAAAAGAAGGAGAATGCAAGTCAACTCTTTGAAGAATTATTGGGAATGAAAACCAATAACCAACAAGACTTCTTTGATGAACTTCTTTCACCTCAACAAGTGAACACTAAATCTGTGTTGAGATTTGTAGATTTAGCAGGAAGTGAAAATGTGGAAATGAGTGGGGTAGCTGGAGATCAATTGACTGAAACTTCATTCGTTAATAAGAGTTTATCAGCTCTTGAAGATGTAATAGTAGCCTTGGCATCAAAACAAAAGCATGTTCCATTTAGAAATTCTAGGTTAACTCATGTTCTGAAAGACTCACTTTCTGGTGATAGTAAGATTTTGATCATTGTTACTGTATCTCCTCAAGAACGATTTGGTGCAGAAACAGTTCATGCATTGAGCTTCGCTGAAAGAGTAAAATCAATCAAGAAGAAGAAGGCAACTAGGCAAACCATTATGTAAATTTCATAAAATTAATGTTATTTACAAAATATTTGATATACTATGATTTAGAAAAATGCTTTTTTCTTATCCAATATCATCACGACTTGTAAAAGCTTTGAACCACATCTATAGAGTGACCTGTTGTTGAATAATCATGACTTGGTAATATCAAATCCACTTTATCTGATAATGATCCAATTAATTTCTTTCCATTTTCAATTGATTTTGTAGAGCTAACAGAGGAGAGAGCAAGTGAACCCTCTAATTTTACAGTATTCTTACTTTTGATATTCATCAAAATGTCTATTGATTAAATATTTAGAGAATACTTCTCAAAATGAAAGCTTACCTCCACAAATGAGAGCTCTATCTTCCTCATGATAAAAACACGAATGACCTTCAGTATGACCAGGACAATGGCAATAGCACAAACAATGCTTTGATTCAGAATTGCTATCTTCACTCAATGGCTGTTCGCTAGTCCTGTATGCATTCATAACACCCTCAAATGGGCTACAAGGAACTTCCAATTTAGGATTCTTAAAAAAGTACTTGGTAAATGAAAAGAGAGAATTTTCTGAAGCTTGTTCCTTAAACTTTTTCCCATCTTTCACATAATCCACCTCCTTTTCATGAATAAACACCTTCAGTTCATTATTAGACAATTCATATAAACTTCTCAGACCTCCACAATGATCATTGTGAAAATGTGTTAAGCAAACATGGTCAATTTCCTTCAATGCCTTGACTGCCTGTTCCTTATCAATTTTCTTCTTTGATATTTCAAAGTCCCTATCAAAGAATTTACACAAAGCATTCACAACCAAAGTATTCACACTCTCCGGACCAACATCAATCAATGTATATCTACTCTGATTCGGATCATATACGAGAAAACATGAAGTTGGCACTGTGTAGGTTGGCATCAACTTGGCAAATGCAAAGGGAAAGGTAAATCGATAAATGTGTTCGGTCATTCTCTCAAACTCTCCCGTGTATAATTCCTTATTATTATTATTGTTGGATGATGATTTTGCTTCATGATCATTTGTATTATCTTGTAACATCTTTTTTTGATTTGTTTCTATTGTTGTTGTAGTTCATCCTATTATCATCAAGTGGTGGACAATAAATTTCAAAATCTAATTTAAATTAGAATTAGAAAATTAATATGTGTTGAAGAAGGAACATGCAATAATTACTATTAAATAAGTATAATGATTGATGGATTATAAATTGTTGGTTAAAAGCTTGTAGGCTTTCAAAATATTCGGAATACAATCTCTGCTGTTTATCTATTAAACGAACGATTGGAGAGAAGCTATTCTTGTCGATGATGATGTACAGCTCAAGTTTAGGCACAATCCATCGAGTGAGAGTGACTGATGCTCATATTCATCTTCTGAGATTATGATGCTACACTTCAATTAGAGTTTTTTCTTCTGTTGATGAGTGCGCCATCAGTAGTTGTTGATGTTTTTAAAAATTTAAAAACTGACCGTTACATTTAATTTTTCAAAAGAATTGCCTCCACATCAACAACACTACCCTTCTCTATCTTGTCCGTTACCTCCATCCACCACAAGAAGAAGAATACACTCCTTGCTATCTCATCACGTGGTAGGCATTGCATCATTTAGGAACATTTATATTTCTTCATTGTGTATTCAAATTTACAAAACTTTTCATAGAGGAAGAAGAATACAACAAATATCAATTAATTTATTATCTCATCAAACTAACATCATCTATAACCAATCCACTTTTTAATAATAATTAATACCAATACTATTAATAATAATAATTATTTAAATTCCAACGAAATATAGAAATTTAAGAATGTCCAATCTCCTGCTCACTTCTCCCTTGCCATCCTCTCCAACGAAAGGCTTGTTGGATCATCTTTCCCCACATAAGCAGAATAATAATAATAATAATAGCAAAAGACATTCATTGGTACTGAATAGTGGGTTGAAAATCTCTTTACCAACCTCTACAAGTAACATGACCGATTCCTTGCTGTTTACCTCACCTAGATCCAATAATAATAATCAATTCTCTTCTCTTCCTTTTAGTGGTCAATCAATGCCACCTAATGCTCAAAACCTTGTACAAACACCAAGACATAACAAACCAGAGAGTCCAACATGTCCAAGAACTGCTCCAAGTCATTTAGTAACTAATGTTCCAGTGAAAGGTAGAGGCAATGGGCTATCTCTGCACAATAATAATGTAAATTTACACCTCCAAAATAATCCCCTCTCACCAAATAATAAGAAACGAATTCATCCTCACTCTGCCCTCTCACCACTCAAGCAAGCTCCTCTTCAACAACACATTCCTCAACCTGGAAATGGGCTCAAGATTCAACTTGGTGCTCAGCTTGTCAATGATAGAAATTGTTTAACCTCTTGCAATAAGACAACTAAGAAAGTGGTGGCACCTTTTGGTGATCGTAAGCCATCAGTTGTGAAACGATTGGATTTTTCAAGTTTAGCTGGGGAAACTAATAGTGTTAACACTTGTTCAAACGATTTGCAAGATAATTTTTCGAGTAGTTGTGGTGAAGTGTTTGATCCATCTGCAATTTTATCAGAATCTATTCTAACTCCAAAAACCTTCACACCAACCAATATGACCTCACCTAAGAAGAATACAGACATTAGTGCTGGATGGAATATGTCTCCTGCTTCGAAGAGAAGAAACTTTGATGTCATTCTAAATTCCCCATCTCTACATGCTGACAGATTTATACCTCAAAGATGCACCCAATCTGAAATGGAAATTGCCAAACATTTAATGTTTACATCTAATGATGGAAATGCCAATACACCAGGATCTCCAAGCAGTGGTCAGCAAGGTTCATCCACCAGCTCACAAATGAATATGCCATATCAATTCGAGTCTTGTTTGGAAAGTAGATTGTTGGATTCCAAGATTTCTGAAAAGAAGATTTTCAAATTCAAACCAACCAATTCCAACATTCATACATCCTATCCTGATGATCAGGATCTCTTCTTTGATTTTAGCACCAGGGGAGCTGACTCGGCAGATTGTGTGAGTGATTCCATATTTGACAATCAGGAAAATATCAGAAGAGGTAATGCTGTGAATGTACCATTCTCTCCAAAGAGAAGTAGCCAAACACCAACCAGTGCTGATACCAATATTCAAAACAAGCTCCAAGCAGTATTTTCCTGCAACAAGCAATTCTCTCAAATGACAGAAATGGAAAAGAGACAACTGCTCCAAGGAGGAAGCAGTTCCAACTCACGACACAGATCTATTTCTGCAATTCCAGAGAGAATACTCGATGCACCAAAATTGGTTGATGATTTTTATTTAAATTTATTGGATTGGAGCTCACAAAATTTATTGGCAGTATCCCTCTTTGATACTGTCTATTTGTGGGATGCAAACAATGGAAATATTACCAAGCTCATGGAAACGAATGACAATGAGGAAGAAGAAACAGATAATACGGTTACCAGTGTTGCCTGGACTATTGATGGTCATCACATTGCTGTAGGAACAAACAATTGCACTATTGAGATTTGGAACGTCGAGAGAAAGACCATGGTAAGAAGAATGATTGGTCATCAGGCAAGAGTTGGTTCCCTTTCATGGAATCCTCGTTGTCAATCTATTCTTTCATCTGGATCTAGAGATGGAAAGATTTTAAATCACGATGTAAGAATAGGTCCAGGTGCTATTCATTCTAATAGCCATGGCATGTTCCTTCATCAACATGAAACCATTCCTCAATATCCAAGTCAAGTTGTTTCTGTCTATTCAGGTCACAACCAGGAAGTTTGTGGCTTAAAGTGGTCTCCAGATGGATCTCAATTGGCCTCAGGTGGTAACGACAATACTCTTCATATTTGGGATGCTAGTAGTGCTAGCTTCTCGCCTGCTCTATTCACATTCAATGAACATACTGCAGCAGTTAAGGCTCTTGCTTGGTGTCCATGGCAGAGCAATTTGTTGGCCTCTGGAGGTGGTACAGCCGATAGAAAGATTCACTTTTGGAATACTTCTAATGGTGCTCTTTTGAACTCTGTGGATACTAAATCTCAAGTGTGTAGTTTATTGTGGTCCAAGTATGATAAGGAACTTGTTTCCTCTCATGGTTTCTCTCAGAATCAATTGATTGTATGGAAGTATCCAAGTTTGAGAAAGGTTGCTGAGCTCACTGGTCACACAAGCAGAGTATTGCATTTGGCTCAATCTCCAGATGGAAGCTCTGTAGTTTCAGCAGCTGGTGATCAGACATTACGTTTCTGGAAGATCTTTTCGAGTGCTTCAGACATTCTACACTCTGGCAGTCAATCTTCTTCGTTTGGATCAAAGCAATTTGGTCGATTCTTTTCAAATCAAACAACTCATACCCTAAGCAATGACATGATGACATTGAGATAAATGTTACTTGTTTCAAAATGGTAACTTTTATCTTGTAAACTGATTTCAAAAACCAATCAAATCATTTAGACATTGATAATAAAAGCCTTCGATTTTTCTCAAAGCCTGGCTTTATGTGTTGAACAAAGTAATGGGCTTTATAGAGACTTTGGCGCGGTTTTTCAAAGGCTTGAAAATTTTAAAAAAAACAAACTCACCTCATAACCGTTTCACACTTCAAACCACCAAAATTTTAGGCTTTGACAAATAGGCTTCCGTACATCAAAATTGACCACAGAATTTTGTGTAAAATGGTAGAAGAAGATGAATGCATCTATGATGCGGAATTTATTCTAGCAAAACGTTACGAGAGAGGTAAACCACTTTATCTCGTCAAATGGGCCAACTATCCATTCGATGATTGTACGTGGGAATCCTATGAAAATGTAACACTAAATGGTGTGATGACTATTGTGGAAGAGTTTGAAGCAAGGCAGTCTGAAATTGCAACCTGCATCAACTCAATTAAATCGGAACAGGAAAGTACAACTAGTGATTCTCCATTGTCAAGTCCCGAAAGGTCATCCACAGACGATATCGGAAGTAGTAGTACAGACAATGTTAGTCCCAAATTTCCTCAACATCATCAACCACAAGCTTCTTCTTCTTCATCATCTAAAAAGGAGCCACAGAGGAAAAAACAAAATGCAAAACAAAAGGAAACAAGGAAGGAAACTAAAAAGAAGGAAGTAAAAGAATCCAAGAAGAAGGCTAATTCAGAGGTAAAGAAACGTAAAAAGCTTGTAATGGATGATGAGGACTCTACTTCGGAAGAAGAAAATCAAGATTCAAAAAAGATCAAGTTGACAAAGACAGACACAACTACTGGTAGCTCTTCACAGCAGCCTAATCTTGTAAATATTCCAAAGGAAGATTCCAATCCTCTTTCTAAGGTTAAGAAAAAGCCACAAACAGAGGTTGGTAGTGTGAAACAGCCTCCTTTCAAAATTCCAAAGAGGAACATTGTTACAGCAGCAAAGACACAAAGTGATCAACCTGCAGAACAAAGACCCTTATCTACAATCAGTATTCCAAGGCTTAATAGATCAAATGCTGTGGAAGCAGTTAAAATTCCACCAAACTCTATCAATGGTCAACAAATTCCTCCAACCTCAAACCCAACTCCAACCAATTCATCAATGAGTTTGCCTCCTTCTAATTCTTCAACAATCAATTCTTCCTTTGGTAATAACGCATTTACTACTGGTGTCAACAATGGAGTTTCTAATACATCAACCACTATTGGCTCTTCCTTAGTAACTAATCCAATAACTCAAACCACCTCACCACAGTTCAAGTTGCCACCAGGAAGTTCTACATTTGTACCAGTTGACCCAAGATTAAATACATTCCCTAGCGATCCTAGATTAAGGGATCCCCGATATTTAACACAATTCAGCCAAGGCACCATTACTAATCCACCAACACACACCACCCCTTTATTTACAGCTCCTATTTCTCCAAGTGAGGTTGGTAAAACAGTTGCCTCAGCCCATAATATTGTAGATACTCAAGGACCAGTTGTTAATAATCAGCAATACATCCCTCCACGCTCCCCAACTGAAATGGGATCAAAGCCAACTAGCTTTAGATCCAATACTCCCTTTGTAGCTCCAATTTCTCCAAGTGAAGCCAGAAAATCATCTCCACATACCACAATTAGAAATAATGAAATATTTAATCCACCAATTTCAAATAGTGGTACCAATTCGTCGAGCAGTTTCACTCAGAATAGATTTAATACCATCAATGTACCCTCTAGTTCATCTTCATATACAGCACCAAGATCTCCATCAGAAAATACTCCATCTGCCAATTTTAGGAACGTATCCCCTCCAAGTCAAATAGACACAACTTCAAAAATATTTAACAGTGCACAATCTTCATCATCTTCGTATGTTGTACCACGTTCTCCAAGTGAAACAACCAGTTCAACTTCAAGCAATTCAGCCACTAAATACAGTGGATCTTCATATACAGCTCCTCGCTCTCCAAGTGAAATGAATGCAATTTCAACTAGATTTAACAGTGACAATACACAAAAAATCTCGACCTATGTTGCACCACTTTCTCCGAGTGAATCGGGCTCCAATTTTCGTGCCTTTAAGAATATTTCGCCCCTTAATGAAACTAAACCAAGTTCCACAACTACTCCCACATCAAGAGGTGGAGGAGGAGGAATTGCAGCCTTCATGCAACAACACACCAAAGCAAAAGAAGATAAGGAGAACAAGTTCGAAGAGGATAAACAACGTTTTTTAGCTAAACAGTCAACCAAGGAGGAAAGAACACCAAATATTGTACCTAGTGCTACAACTGTTTCTCCCACAGTATCCACCAAAACAACTGAAACCAAACCAAGCTCCACAACTACTCCCACATCAAGAGGCGGAGGAGGAGGAATTGCAGCCTTCATGCAGCAACATACGAAATCACAACAAGATAGGGAGCAACGATATTTAGAGAATAGAAACAAATTCTTATCCTCAAAAGGTATTGATCCATCTGAAGTTCCTCTCGAAGAACCTAAGAATAAGAAAAAACATCAAAATGTTAGTTCCACAGAATACATTTCTAGTAGTGATGGTAACACTGGCAATACTCAGGTTCCACCAGTTTCTCCTTCAAATAGACCAACAGCTGAAAC